AATTAAATCTGATCTGTGATGCGACTGTCGTTCGGCACGCTGCATTGAGCAGCCGCGTTCAGTTTTTAATTTTAGTGTCTGTTCTTTTCCTGAACTAAATTATTTTTATTACTATAAAAAATCTAAACGACGGTGGGGGTCGGTGACGCGGTGGGCAAGTGACGTAACCGGTGTTGCGGCTTAACACACCGGTATCATCGTCAACACCGTCTATCGCGGCAAGCCTAGTTCACAGCAGTTTAATGTTCCTGTTGCTTTCTGTCATGAACGTTAATTAAACAAAACAAAGAAAAATCACTTTTGTAGCTTTAACACAGATTTATTAGATTTAATTTATAGTGAAAACTATGCAGTGTTATTTTACATTTGATTATTCAATTTCTGTACCTGAATACTGTTAGACTGACCTGAAAAATATAAATGCTTATTTAATTTGTATCTTTGTTGTGTTATTTATCTATGCTTGTAATTTGTTTATTTCCTATGCTGATTTACTCGCCTACAGAATCACCCCAATTGATTATTTTTTTTCCAAATATAAAGCTATTGAAGTCATCAGATTTTTTTTCTATATCGCAATATATATCGCAGAAAAAAAAAATCGCAATGTGAGTTTTTTCCAATATCGTGCAGCCCTACCGTAAAGGTACATATTAGTACTTAAAGTGTACATATTAGTACCTAAAATGTACAAAAGTGTACCAGTGACAGGTTCCCCCCCCCCCCTTTTTTTCTTCCAAAATCACCTTAGATAAACGGCAAAAGTCAACAGGCTTTTCAAAATCCAAAATATTGCCAAACAGGTGCTTTTGCATCTAGTTTCGAAACTAAATCATCCGCGATCGTCTTGTCCGTCTCACCCAACTCTTCTTGTCAGTCAGCTCGACTCACTCTCCTCACTGGAGAAATTAAATCTGATCTGTGTGATGCAACTGTCGTTCGGCACGCTGCATTGAGCAGCCGCGTTCAGTTTTTAATTGTAGTGTCTGTTCTTTTACTGAACTAAATGATTTGTATTACTATAAAAAAATCTAAACGACGGTGGGGGTCGGTGACGCGGTGGGCAAGTGACGTAACCGGTGTTGCGGCTTAACACACCGGTATCATCGTCAACACCGTCTATCGCGGCAAGCCTAGTTCACAGCAGTTTAATGTTCCTGTTGCTTTCTGTCATGAACGTTAATTAAACAAAACAAAGAAAAATCACTTTTGTAGCTTTAACACAGATTTATTAGATTTAATTTATAGTGAAAACTATGCAGAGTTATTTTACATTTGATTATTCAATTTCTGTGCCTGAATACTGTTAGACTTACCTGAAAAATATAAAGCACTGCTTATTTCATTTGTATCTTTGTTCTGTTATTTATCTATGCTTGAAATTTGTTTATTTCCTTTACTCGCCCACAAAATCACTGATTTTTTTTTGTTTCCAAATAGAGCTATTGAAGTCATCTGATTTTTTTTTTCATATCACAATATAAAATCGCAGAAAAAAAAAATATCGCAATGTGAGTTTTTTTCCAATATCGTGCAGCCCTAGTGGTAAGTGAACTTTCATGTACTGCAGTGCAACAGGCTACCGCTAGCAAGCGGCTAACCTTTTAGTGGCTCCGTATAACGCGTTATTTGTTTCACGCTTTGGCCCTTTTGATTGACAGGATATAATTGGCCTCGATCATCGGCTGTTTTTAAAGAATTCGCAATGACCCATGGAGCAGATAATTGCCTTTTATCAACCGCTACCGATTATTAGCTGATGCATCAGTGCATCCATAATTTTAATTCATTCATGCCGTTTTTTAGCATTGGTCTAACGAGACAAATCACATCTAAAAATCTGATTGGATTACATGTCAAGCATTTGTGTGGGTGCGAACAAACCCTAATTTACAATAATTCCAAACATATGGGAGCACATTGGATGCATTCATGGAAAAAGGCCTATAACGTGTATAATTCATTATTTATTTCTAAAAAAAATTATCTCAAGAATTGTGTGCCAGTTGTGTCAGTTTGTCATTTTCATCTGGGAAGGGTAAGGCGTTAGTTTATATCAGGGGAAAACATTACATCAGAATTAGATGAAGACGTCACACCGAATGACGTCGGACATAAGGCAAGTTCAGGCCAAGTAGCCCAAAATTAATTAGGCCGGATAAATAATAATCATTAGCCACAGTATGGCAACGCCCCCGTGGTAAGAGAGAGTGATGACAGCTAAATAATCTAAGGCGTGCATGTATATATCAAGTGTTACCGAGAACAAGACAAGCTCACACCTCTACATGTCATTCTTGAGCTGGTGATGTTTTCTTAACAGAATTGAGCATAGCCAATATTTATTAATGTCTGCTCAACATTAAGTTTCCGGTGACTCGCAATATTTAAGAATATTGTTTATTTATCTTATTCAAAAACATTCCATCTTGAACACAGAATCAAAACATGACGGCAGCCAGACAGTCAAAGTCGACAATTTGTTTGCCAACTAGAATCATGAACGGCTCGACTATTAATTAGCAAACACAGCACAACATACCATACACGCCCCTGTTGACAGATTAAACAGCATATTATCAAAACAGTAGTGAAACATAGTTATACACCGGCATCGACGTGATGGCCTTCAACCATCACAGGCACACCCAATCCCAAATATCAATCACCAGCCACTGAAATACACCTTAAACGGCTTTATGAAGCCACGTTAGTGTCAAAGAGGTTTTGAAACACATAAATACAAATGACACCAGTTGTTATTACTTATTCAATGAGTTTAGTGCGGAGATGATGCTAACACGAACTAACTTAAGCTAACATTAGTATGGGTCAAATCACTTAAGGCTGGCTGTCACAAATTTCAGGTCAAGCAAGGGGTTTAATTTAATTTAATGAGAATGAAATAAACGTATTGGTTCCGTATCTACGTGTGTATGCAAGTCATGCCATTACCGGCGTTAGTTTATATCGCTCTCTGATATTTCCACCCTTATTTTGCTCTAACGGCCAGTCCGCCATTTTGAGTCAGACAGGCAGGCGGCACAAATTTCGCAGCCACATACACACTTTACCTGACTCACTTTCACTATAGCGCAGCGAACAGAAGTGACACTTACCTTTTAATATGAGGGGTGTCTCATCTGCCAGATCACGCAGCCAGGTGAAAAGTAAAAGTAAAAACGACTGAGCTGTGTCTCTGCTGAAAGTCACTTCCGATGTTGCGGCTCAGTCAGCGCTGTTTCTGCTCCTGATTTCTGCGCCGCATAACCGTCTACTGATTACGGGCGCGCGCACGGCACGGTCGGGGGCGCGCACGCCTTGAGGATCACAGGTCACTTACATCATAACCTTCAGCTGACACTGAGGATGAGTCGCGCTTTATGAGCTTTATGGTGGGACGTTTCAATAAATATTATTGGCATTTATGAATTTTTAACCATGGGTCTTCCAAGTTTTAAACACATTGTTTTTTATATAAAAACAAAATATGGCAGTTAACATAATTGTAAATTATGCAAATTATTGTAAATTATGCGATCCCCTTCAGTTACATATTATTGCACACTGCATAGCACAAGTAATTAAACTGCACTATGATGAATAAATGCAAATGGGGAAGTATGTCATAAGAATTTTCATTACATTTCTGCGTGAGCGATTATAAATTAGATAAATTAGTACAATTTTAATTCATGTAAACATGGGTACAGTGTCTTGCAAATGTTAACCAAGACGAAAACTATTAAAACATTTTTGTTAACTGAAATAAAATAAAATACGAACATTAGATGAAAATGTAGCTTTGGGAGCTAACTGAAATAAGTTTAATTTGAAGCACTAAATGGAAATAAATAAAAAGTTAAACAGTAACTTAAAATCAGTTAAAACTGAAAAAAAAGTAGTATACATTTTTTTTTTTTTTTAAAGGCCTAAAAGTGATAAAATGAAAACTGCAAATATAAAAATAAAAGCAAATTCAAAATATTAATCCATTTAAACTGCTTTATTTTGTAGCACTTTTCACAAGTCATTTTATCACAATGCAATAACAATTTTTCTTGTCATACATTCCTTGAAATCAAGCCGAAGTCAGTCAAGTATGAAGTGCATGCATCAGCCCTCTTTACTAGTCACTGCTCTGTGGCTCTTATACATATACAGTGCAATCATCACACATCAATGTACAAAGGAAGACATAAATGACCAGACAGTCCTGTTTACAAATGTGCAAATTTGCCTAGATACACTCAACAGCCAGATACACTCATGCTTTTTAAAGGGAATGCTACATATTTTTTTTTTGGCAAGATCATCCACCACACCAGTTGTTCAAGAGTTCATTTACACTTTTTAAATGTTTATCTTCATGTTAATATGTCCCCAACTAGAACCCTGTTCATATAGGGGCTCATCTGTTTGTTCACTTTATTTAAAGCGCAGTCTTAAAGGGGTCATATGATGCTGCTATAAAGAACATTATTTTGTGTATTTGGTGTAATGAAATGTGTTTATGCGGTTTAAAGTTAAAAAAACACATTTTCCACATACTGTACATTATTGTTTCTCCTTTATGCCCCGCCTTTTTGAAACGCGTCGATTTTTACAAAGCTCATCGGTCTGAAAAAGCGAGGTGTGCTGTGATTGGCCAGCTATCCAATGCGTTGTGATTGACCGAATACCTCAAGCGTGAGACGGAAATGTTACACCCCTCACATACTGTTGATGCCGTGTCCCGGCCGGAGCGAAGAGACAAAAACATTAAAACCCATTACAAACGAGGCATTTGTTGCATCCAGTGGGGACATAATTACTGATTATAACGACTTATACTGTCTTTTTATGCGTTGCGTTGCATTGCATCGCGCCGCGCCGCGTAAACATAAAACTCTGTCTGCATTTGTGATCAGAGAAATGACAAACAACAAGTGCTACTCTACTGCCCAAAACTCGTGTTTGAATCATCAGTGGCAAATCCTTTAAATGAAAATGTACTTATGTGAGTCAGAACTGCCGGCATTTTAGTCTAATGTTACTCTCCCAGGATCAGTAAACAGTCCTCCATAAAATGCGCTGCACACATCTGGATATTTGGGTTAAACTGTTCTGGAACAGTGTTGTAAATACAACTTAACCACTGATTTCTAGTCGTGTCC